CATAAAAATAAAAAGTCCCAGAAATGCACTAAAATGCAAGATTATGTCCTAAAACATGCTGCCAAGTGAATATTTTGCGTTTAAAAGTGCAAAAAGTATTTTTTATGAATATTTCAAAAATCACCCAAAACATGCCTTACTATAGCCTTACCATCGTGAAAATATCCATAAAAATAAAAAGTCCCCGAAATGCCTTAAAATGCAAGATTAGGTCCTAAAACATGCTGCCAAGTGATTATTTTGTGTTTTAAACTGCAAAAAGTATTTTTTATGAATATTTCAAAAATCACCCAAAACATGCCTTACTATAGCCTTACCATCGTGAAAATATCCATAAAAATAAAAAGTCCCCGAAATGCCTTAAAATGCAAGATTAGGTCCTAAAACATGCTGCCAAGTGATTATTTTGTGTTTTAAACTCCAAAAAGTATTTTTTATGAATATTTCAAAAATCACCCAAAACATGCCTTACTATAGCCTTACCATCGTGAAAAAATCCAAAAAAATAAAAAGTCCCCGAAATGCCTTAAAATGCAAGATTATGTCCTAAAACATGCTGCCAGGTGAATATTTTGTGTTTAAAAGTCCAAAAAGTATTTTATATGAATAGTTCAAAAATCACACAAAACATGCCTTACTATAGCCTTACCATCGTGAAAATATCCATTCACTGTATTACATTATGTTTAAGGTCATACATTACCCCAGCTGCCTCACCTGCTCCAGTAGCTTTCTTCAGCTTCTAGTCCACCTTGGGCCACAAACCAGCAGCATGGACAGCTACTTCCCTAAGCTCAAACAGGCCAGCATGGTTTTCTTTTCCTGCTCTTAGTCATTCATCACATGGTGTGTCTAGTGTCTGCAAGAAAGAGTATTGGGAGATGAGGGGGACACATTGGTATCGTTTTGTGTACAACTACATGATCAAATGTGATTCAGTAGCTATGTTGAGAAAATCTGACTGAAAATCCTTCAAAGGGTGGAATTACTCATGCATTTATTTAGTTGTTTGTATAGTCACAAGTGTTTTCTCAGTTTCTGCTTTAAACAACAACAAAAAAAAAAAAAAAAAATTTTTTTTTTTCAAACTTCGCTCCACTAAATAATTAGTCAGTACAAGAATCTTTATCAGTCAGTTGATGCCTCATAGCTTCGTTATGCTATTGCAACAGCATAAATGGACTGATTCTAGCCTCACAAATTGGCCCTGCTTCTGATTGAGTAGAACAAGTGTGTTTGGGAGCAGTTGGGGTAGTAAGACGAGCTTACAATCATGAAAAAAATGCAAAAAAAAGTCCCACAAATGCCCTAAAACATGCTGCCAAGTGAATATTTTGTGTTAAAAACTTGAAAAAACATCACATCTGAACTTGTCAAATATCAGCAAAAATACGTAAGGCTTACTATCATGAAAAAATACAAAGAAATAAGAAGTCCCAGAGATGCCCTAA